ATTGCTGGTCCCCAATCACAGGCCACACTTGTATTGGGGTATTTCTTTCCAATGGGTCGCTTCTGGTGGCTCCCTCCCCCTTTTGTTGATCTTCTGATATCAGTCCGATGTTCCCACTCTGCTTTACCTGTCCACTGGTGTCTTCTGACCCTGTAGGGATCCAGAAGTATATAATCCTACTTCTCAGGCTGGTTTCAAAGTATTCTGGTAGATAATCAGCTCACTGATTAAAGACTGGTTAAAACAGCGTCTCCTACTTCTCTGCCATTTTGCCCCTCTGCTTTTAAGACTTTTTATCATTAACCTTTGATATTTTAATTATTATGTACCATGGTGTGCTCCTTTTTGGGTTTATGTTGTTTGGAACTCTGTGCTTTTTGGCCCTGGATGTCTATTTTCTTTCTCAGTTTAGACAAGTTTCCATCTTTTCAAAAAAGTTTTGTGCTTCATTCTATCTCTCTTCTTCTGGGACCCCTATAATGAAAATTTTCTTAGCTTGAACTCTTAAACTATGCTCATTTTTAAAATTATTTTCTCTTTTTGCTGTTCACCTTGGTTTCCCATCATTATCTTCCAAATTGTTGATATGTTCTCCTAAATCTGTTAAATTGATGATTTCCTCTACTGTGTTTATTTCAGTTATTTTATTCCTCAACTGTAATTGGCTCTTAAATTTTGTATCGCTTTATTGAAGGTCTTACTGAAGCGATCTACTCTTCTGTCCTTCCAGTGCACATCTCTAGGATGATTACTTTTAATTACCTTAATTTTTTTATCAGGCATTTTTTTTGTCTTTGTTTCATTAGCTCTTTTCTGAGATTTTGCATTGTTCTTTCTTTTACAACATATTTCTCTGTTTCCTCATTTTGCTTGACTTTCTGTGCTTGTTTCTATGGATTAGGTAGGACAGCTACATTTAAACTTGGAGGAATGGTTTCATGTATGGTCATCCCCTATGTAGACTGTGTGCTTGGTGAATTTACCTGCCTGGCTGGACCTGGAGATGTTATGGGCTGGGGGTTCCAATGCTCTCCAAAGTTCAAAATGTTAATACTTGGGGCGCCTGGGTGGCTCAGTGGGTTAAGCCACTGCCTTCAGCTCAGGTCATGATCTCAGGGTCCTGGGATCGAGCCCCGCATCGGGCTCTCTGCTCAATGGGGAGCCTGCTTCTTCCTCTCTCTCTGCCTGCTTCTCTGCCTACTTGTGATCTCTCTCTGTCAAATAAATAAATAAAATCTTAAAAAAAAAAAGTTAATACTTTGGTAAGGCAGCTGAAGCTCACATGGTCACAGATGGGTGTGTTCCTTGTGCTCTCCAGTAGCAGGTGATTTGGCAGGACAGCTGGCTCTTTTATAAACTAATTGCTCTTTTAAACCACAGATTTTTGTCTGTCTTGCTGTTCTCTTTTACCATTCTTCATTTCATTGTGCAGAAGCTGCTCAGTGGGCTGCCAATTCTTCTTCAGGAGGAATTGTTCTATAAATAACTATAACTTGGTTTGTTCCATGAAGAATGTGATTTTAGGGTCTTCCTGAGTCACCATCTTGGACTAGAAACCCTGTGTCTCAAAAGTTTTAGTCTGTTGTTTTAATTTGGTTTTGCTTTGGGTTTTTTTCCTCAAGATATTTTCTGAGTTCCTTTTTGATTTCTTTGCCCATTGTCTTTGGTTTTTTAGGAGTGTGCTGTTTTTCACATATTGGTGAAATTTCCTGCTTTCTCTTGCTATTATTTTATAATTTCATACAATTGTGTTTGGAAAAGATATCTGATATGATTTCAATATTCTGAAATGTTAAAACTTATTTTGTGACTAACACATGATCTATCCTGGAAAATGTTTCTTGTGTGCTTAAGAGGAGTGTGCATTTGCTATTGTTGGGTGGAATGCTTTCTATATGTCCATTAGGTCCATTTAGTCTAAAGTGTACTTCAAGTCCATTATTGGCATATTCATTTTCTGTCTGCATGATCCATTCATTGTTGAATAAAATAGGGTACTGATGTGCCCTACTATTATTACATTGCTATTTTTTCCTTCTGATCTGTTAACAAATGTTTACTATATTTAGGTGTTCCAATATTGGGTGAATATATATTTACAGTTGTTATATCTTCTTAATAAAATTATCATATTGCTGTATAATTACATTGGGCTTTTTTCACAGCCTTTTGTCTTAAACTATATCATCTGATATAAGTATAGCTACCCCTGTTCTCTGTTGGTGTCCATTTTGCGTGATTATGTTCCATTGACCTTTGTGTCTATTTTTATAACAATGCCATATTGTTTTGATAACTATACTTTTATATATACTTTGAACTAGGGAAGTGTGTTGTATCCAACTTTGTTCTTCTTTCTCAAAATTGCTTTAACAATTTCAGATGTTTAATGATTCCAAACAGATTTTAAGATTATTTTTACTATTTCTGTAAAATAAAAATGTCATCGGAGATGTTTACAGCAGCATTATCAACCATAGCCAAACTGTGGAAAGATCCCAGATATTCATTGGCTGATGAATGGATAAAGAAGAGATATATAGATATATATCTATACATAACATAATGGACTATTACTCAGCCATCTAAAAGAATGAAATCTTGCCACTACAGCAACATGGATGGAGCTAGAGTGTATTATGCTAAGTAAAATAAGTCAGTTAGAGAAAAACAAATAACATGTGATTTTACTCATGTGTGGATTTTTGAAAGAAAACAGATGAACATATGGGAAGCAAAAAAAGAGAGAGGGAAGAAACAATGAGATAGAGAACAAACAGGGTTGATGGAGGGAGGTGGGTGAGGTATTAGCTAAAGGGGTAATGGGTAGTAAGAAGGGCACTTGTTATGATGAGCACTGGGTGTTATGTGTAAGTGATGAACCACTAAATTCTACTCCTGAAACCAATATTATGTTACATGTTAACTAACTAGAATTTAAATTAAAAATTTGAAAAAAAAACAAAAAAACAAAAAGTGAAACAAATGCCATTGGAATTGTGAGAGATTGGATACAATCTGTAGATAACTTTGGGTAATATGTACATTTTAACAATATTAGTTCCTCCAATTCATGACTATGGAATATATTCCATTTATTTGTTTTTGTTGTTGTTGTTGTTGTTGTTGTTTTTACAATGTCTTACATCAATGTCTTAAAATTTTCAGTGTACAAGCCTTTCAAATCCTTTCAAATCCTAGGATATTTCCTAGGTATTTTAATAGTTTTGATGCAATTATAAAATGGATTGCTTTCTTAATTACTTTTTTTTTGTTTTTTCACAATTAGCATATAGAAACAAAACAGATTTTTCTGCCATATTAACTATGCATCCTGAAAATTCAGTGAATTTTTTTAAGGTGTAACAATTATTTGGGCAGAATATTTAGGATTTTTTTATATAAAATATCATTTGATTTGAAGATAGTGACAATTTTACTTCTTACTTTCCCATTGGGGTGCTCTTCTTTGTTCTTGTCTTCTCTCTTGTTTTCTTTTCTCTTGTTTTCTTCCTTTCTTTCTTTCTTTCTCTTTCTCTCTCTCTCTCTCTCTTTCCTTCTTTCTCTGCTGTAGATTTGTCCTAGCTGCTGTAGCTACTACTGGCACTTTTATTTTATGTTGAATCAAAGTGGAGAGCATACATGCTTATCTTGTCCTGATCTTAGGGAAAAAGCTTTTAATGTTTCACCACAGAGGGTTTGACATAAATGGCCTTTATTAGGTTGAGGTACATGTCATTGATGACCAAGTCATTGAGAGTTTATATCTTAAAAGGATGATAAAATTTGTCAAATGATTTTTCTACATATATTGATACAATCATGTGATTTATATCCTTCATTTTTAATATGATGCATCCTTGATTGAGTTGTAGATGTTGAACTATCCTTGCATCCCAAATATAAATCGTACTTGATAATGGTGTATTTTCCTTTTAATGTATTTTTGAATTTTTTTGCTTATATTTTGTTAAAGGCACTTCCATCTATATTCATCAGGTGTATTGACATGTAATTTTTTCTTGTGTTTGCCTTGTCTGGTTTTGGTATCATGGTAATGTTTGCCTTAAAAATGACTTTAGGGGTGTCTGGGTGGCTCAGTTAGTTAAGCAACTGCCTTCAGCTCGGGTCATGATCCCAGAGTCCCGGGATCAATTCACGCATCAGGTTCCCAGCTCTGCAGGAGTCTGCTTCTCCCTTTGACCTTCTCTTTCATGCTCTCTCTCACTGTCTCTCTCTCAAATAAATAAATAAAGTATTTTTTAATTACTTTAGAAGTGTTCCATCTTTTTTTCAAATTTTTTGGAAGTGTTTAAGAAGGATTTCTAGTAATTCTTTTTTTTTTTTTTTCTCAATGTTTGGTAGAATTCAACAATGAAGACAACTGAACCTGGATTTTTGTCAGGAGCATTTTGATTACAGTTTCTGTCTTTTAACTAATAATCAGTCTATACAGGTCTTTTATTCTTCATGATTCAGTCTTGGTAGGCCATATATGCGTTTAGGAATTTATTCATTTATTGATACTTTTGACTTACATTTTTTTTGGTTTTTTTTTTTGTAGTATCCCTTTTAATGTATCCTTATTTCAGATTTTATTTATTTATGTCTTCTCTATTTTTTCTTGGTGAGCCTAGTTAAAGGTAGTTATCTTCTATTTTCTTAATTTTCAAAGAATCAGCTCCTGGAGAGAGGAAAGATGGTGGAGGAGTAGGGGACCCTGTTTCAACCAATGCCCTGTATTTAGCTGAGTATCTACCAAACCATTCTGAATGCCCACAAAATCAGCCTGAGATGTAAGAATATATATCTGGATCTCTACAAACAGAAAAGCAACTGTTTATTGCAAGGTAAGATGTGCAGAGTGGTGAATCTACAGGGAGATAGCAGAAGATAAACAGAAGAGGGAGAAAGCCTCCACAAGCTGGCTCTTGGAAAGTGATATAACACCAGACTTCAAAATCAGACACCTTAGAAATCCACTCTAGGGAGTGACATACCTCTTTTAAAGGGGCTCTGGAAATAAAGAGGCTGAATTCTAGGTAGAGCATTGTGGTCTCAGGATACAAGAAGCCTCAAAGCCAAAGAGACTTCTGGGACTGACAGAGTGGCTGAGCAGGGGAGCCAGGAAGCAGGTTATTGTCAGTAAGCCCAGGAAGGGACTCTCAGCTCGGATCATCATAAACTGCAAACCAACTGGTTGAGAATCTCTCTTCTCCTGGGCAGCCTGAAAAAATTAGGAACCCACACCCACAAACAGGCAAAAACTCACAAAGTATTAGAGGCCAGGAAAAAGCTTTAGAGCAGCACCCAGACATTATCCAAGAGCTTCAAGCATGCACGCGAGCTTATGGCCACTCATGATTTCAGAAGTGAAAAGGGCAGTGACAGTCCTGGACCCCTGGGACTACCTCTGAGAGGGTTACTATGGGTAGCACTATGGGAGGCTGTCATTTTTGGTGATACATACAGAAACGGAGATTGTCCTAGAGGGTTTGGTGAAGAAAGCAGACTGTGATTTCTCTGCTCTGGGTTAGAGGCTTGGATATGACCATTTTTGCTCTGACTCTTGGAAGAGTAATGAAAAGTCCCCCGGGAACAAAAGCACAGAGGACCAGTTTCCACTGAGCCCATCCACTGACAAGGGCAAGGCAATTCCACCAAAGCAGGGTTACCTGGGAAACAGAATAGCAGACCTCTGCTCCAGAAGACAGGCTGGCAGAGCAAGTGGAGGACAACACCACAGAACTCATAAGATTATAAAATCCCAATGCTAGAGGAAAATTGTATATTGAGCTCTAGCTGCTGCCTCATGGCTTGTTCATTTTTCAGATAAAATTCTCATTTTTTTCTTTTTCTTATGTCTTTTCTGTTTTTTTTTTCCTTTTTATCTTTTTCTCATTTCAGCTAAATGTTTATAATATCAACTTATATGTCATTGTACCTTTTTAACTTGTATTTTTTTCACACTTATTTTTTATAGATACATGCTTATTGAAGGCTTTTTTTCACTATTCAATTTTACCTTTATAAATATACAAATTTTACTTCCCTTGAAATTTTGGGAAGTAGTGTCATCTAACACAGACCAAAATACACCTAGGAACAAATGAAACAATCTGTTTTGTCCACACTAAGGGATTATAGCCCCCTTCCCCTCACCCTCTTTTTATTTATTTTTTTTTTTACAAATTTTATTCTTCTGTTTTCATTTTGACTTAGCTTTTTCAGCATTGGCTTCTGAACACTCTGGATTTTGCTAGGGTGCATTTTCCTTGGGTCATGGTTGATATTTTGGACTCTGCTGATTCACCCAAAGATCCCTCAACAGAATGACTAGGAGGAGGAACTCTCAACAAAGAAAAGAAACAGAGACAGTGTCCTCTACCATAGAACTAATGGATATGGATATAAGCAAGATGTCAGAGAGAACTCAGGATATCAATCATTAAATCAATAGGTAGGCTTGGAAGAAGCATTGGTGACAATATAGGAACTCTAAGAGCAGAAATGAGTTCTAAACAGACCAAATTAAAAATTGATATGAATGAGAAGACATGATAATTTATATGGAAAACCAAAAGACTCCACCTCAAACTACTAGAACTCATACACAAATTCAGGAATGTGGCAGGATACAAAATCAATGTGCAGAAATCAGTTGTTTTCTTATACACTAACAGTGAAAATACAGAAAGGGAAATTTCAGAATCAATTCCATTTAGTATACAAGAACCATAACACACCTGGGAATAAACCTATTCAAAGAGGTAAAGGTTCTGTACTTGAGGAACTATAGAACACTCATGAAAGAAATTGAAGATGACACAAAAAGATGGAAGACCATTCCATGCTCATGGATCAAAAGAATAAGCATTGTTAAAATGTCTATACTGCCTAGAGAAATCCATACTTTCAATGTCATTTCGATCAAAATTCTACTGGCATTTTTCAAAGAGCTGGAACAAGCAATCCTAAAATTTGTATAGAACCAGAAGAGACCCTGAATTTCTAAGGAAATGTTGAAAAAGAAAAACAAAATTGGGGCATCGTGTTTCCTGATTTCAAGCTTTAGTACAAAGCTGTGATCACCAAGACAGCATGGTACTGGCATAAAAACAGACACATAGAGCAGAGGAACAGAGTAGAGAGCCCAGATATGGACCTGCAATTCTATGGTCAAATAATCTTCGACAAAGCAGGAAAAAATATCCAGTGGAAAAAAGACAGTCTCTTCAATAAATTGTGCTGGGAAAATTGGACAGCTATGTATAGAATAGTGAAACTCAACCATTCTCTTACACCATACACAAAGATAAACTCGAAATGGATAAAAGACCTCAATGTGGGGCAGGAATCCATCAGAATCCTAGGGGAGAACATAGGCAATAACCTCTTTGACATCGGCCACAGCACCTTCTTTCAAGGTATGTCTCCAAAGGCAAAGGAAACAAAAGTGAAAATGAATTTTGGGGACTTCATCAAGATCAAAAGCTTCTGCACAGCAAAGGAAACAGTCAACAAAACAAAGAGGCAATCCACGGAATGGGAGAAGATATTCACAAATGACACTACAGTCAAAGGGTTGATATCCAAGATCTATAAAGAACTCCTCAAACTCAACACATGCATAACAGAAAATCATGTCAAAAAATGGGCAGAAGACATGAACAGACACTTCTCCAATGAAGACATACAAATGGCTAACAGACACATGAAAAAATGTTCATCATCACTAGCCATCAGGGAGATTCAAATCAAAACTGAATTGAAATACCACCTTACACCAGTTAGAATGGCCAAAATTAATAAGACAGTAAACAACATGTGTTGGAGAGAATGAGATGCAGTCTAAACTGGACACTCTAACAGCCAGGGTAAATTAGGCAGAAGAGAAAATTAGCGATCTAGAAGATAAACTGATGGAAAAGAAAGAAGTGGAGGAAAACAGAGATAGGCTGCTAGTAGCACATGAAAAAAACTTTTGCAGAGATTAATTGTGCCATGAAATGTTTGTCAGAAATATTGGGATCCCAAAGGGGTGGGGAGAGAGGGCTAGAAGGTATATTGAGCAAATCATAGCTGAGAAGTTTCCTCATCTGGGTAAGGAAACAGTCATTCATGTCCAAGAGGCAGAGAGGATCCCTCCAAAAATCACTAAAAATAGACCAATACCCTGGCATATAATGGTGAATCTTGCAAATCTTAGAGCTAAGGACCCTATCCTGAGAGCAGCTAGGGGTAAAAGATTTCTTACATATGGAAGGAGAAATATCAGAATAACATCAGACTAATCCACAGAGACCTGGCAAGCCAGAAAGGGTTGGCAAGACATAGTCAGGTACTGAATGAGAAGAAATTGCAGCCAAGAATACTTTATCCAGCAAGGCTGTCATTCAGAATGGATGGAGAGACAAAGAGCTTCCAGGACAGGCAGAAACTGAAAGAATATGTGACCACCAAGCCAGCCCTGTAAGAAATATTAAAGGGGGTTCTATGAAAGAAGAAAGACTTCAAGTATAAAATGGGCCAGAAATTAACAGAGACAATCTATAGAAACAGGAATTTAGGGGCACCTGGGTGGCTCAGTGGGTTAAAGCCTCTGCCTTCGGCTCAGGCCATGTTCCCAGGGTCCTGGGATTGAGCCCCGTGTCAGGCTCTCTGCTCTGTGGAGAGCCTGCTTCCTCCTCTCTCTCTGCCTGCCTCTCTGCCTACTTGTGATCTCTGTCTGTCAAATAAATAAAATCTTAAAAAAAAAGAAAAGAAACAGGAATTTACAGGCAATATGGTGGCATTAAATTCATATCTTCCCAACAGTTAATCTCAGTGTAAATGGACTGAATGTTCCCATCAAAAGACACAGGGTTTCCAATTGGTTAAAAGAAAAAAGCAGGACCTATCCATATGCTGTATACAAGAGACTCATTTTGAACCTAAAGATACCTCCAGATTGAAAGTGAGTGGATGGAGAACAATTTATCATGCCAACGGACCTCAAAAGAAAGCTGGAGCAGCAATTCTTTTTTATTTTATTTTATTTTATTTTTTCAGTGTTCCAAGATTCATTGTTTATGGACCACACCAGTGTTCCATGCAATACGTGCCCTCTGTAATACCCACCACCAGGCTCACCCAACCCTCCACTCCCCCTTCCAAAACCCTCAGTTTGTTTCTCAGAGTCCACAGTCTCTCATGGTTCTTATCCCCCTCCAACTTCCCCCAACTCACTTCTCCTCTGCTTCTCCCAATGTCCTCTGTGTTATTCCTTATGCTCCACAAGTAAGTGAAACCATATGATAATTGACTCTCTCTGCTTGACTTATTTCACTCAGAATAATCTCCTTCAGCCCCATCCACGTTGATACAAAAGTTGGGTATTCATCCTTTCTGATGGAAGCATAATACTCCATTGTATATATGGAACATATCTTTTTGATCCATTCGTCTGTTGAAGGGCATCTTGGCTCTTTCCACAGTTTGGCGACTGTGCCCATTGCTGGAGCAGCAATTCTTATATCAGACAACTTAGATTTTAAACCAAAGGCTGTAATAAGAGATATATAGGGACATTATATCATACTTAAAGTGTCTATCCAACAAGAAGAATTAACAATTGTAAATATCGATGCCCACAACATGGGAGCAGCCAATTACATAAACCAACTAAGAACCAAAATAAAGAATCATAAATAATACATTAATAGTAGGAGACTTCAACATTCCACTCACAGCAATGGATAGATCATCTAAGCAGAAGATTAACAAAGAAACAAAAGCTTTGGATGACATATTGGACCAGATGGACTTCGCAGATATATACACAACATTCCATCCTAAAACAACAGAATAGTCATTCTTCTTGAGTGTATATGAAACTTTCTCCAGAACAGATCACATACTGGGTCACAAATCTCAACATATACCAAAAGATTGAGATTATTCCCTGCATATTTTCAGACCACAGTGCATTGAGACAGGAACTCAACCACAAGGACAAATTTAGAAGGAACTGAAACACTTGGAGGTTAAAGAGCATCCTGCTAAAGAATGAATAGGTCAACCAGGAAACTAAAGAGGAACTTAAGAAGTTCATGCAAACCAATGAAAATGAAAGCACATTGGTTCAGAACCTATCGGATACTGCAAAGGCTGTCCTTAGGGGTAAGTACATAGCCACCCAAGCCTCTCTCAAAAAATTTGAAAAATGCCCAATGCACAAGCTAACCTTACACCTAAAGCATCTGGAGGGGGGAAAAATAGCAAATAAAGCCTAAAGCAAGCAGGAGAAGAGAAATAGTAAAGATTAGAGCAGAAATCAATAAAATACAAACCAGAGTAACAGTAGAACAGATCAAGGAAACTAGAAGCTGGTTCTTTGAAAGAATTAAAAAGATCGATAAACCTCTGGCCAGACTTTTCCAAAAGAAAAGAGAAAGGACCCAAATTAATAAAATCATGAATAAAAGAGGATTGATCACAACTAACACCATGGAAATAGAAACAATTACTAGCAATTATTACCAGCAATTATATGCCAAG